AATGACATATACTATTAGAAACTTACACTGATAAATTGTTGCCAATACTCGTCAGTGCAAGTGGGTTTCTTTTGAATCGGATCCCATCCAAGTCCGGTGGCAGTGCGAAGTAGAAACTCAGCATCAAACGTTTTCTTCAGTCTACTGGCTTTTTGTTTGACTTTGTCCCAAGTTAGGGGAACGGTAAAATGCTCACTTAGCTCCGCCGCCCATTGTGTGTATTTATCTCGGTGAGGGGTGGTACCTACAGAGTTCAATAAATTGAACTCACCTAGCCGTTTAAGCAGTTGTTCCTCGGCTTCCGGGCTCCAATTTACATCTCTATCTCTCCTTCTCGCCATTTATGTATTGACAATACCATAATCGCAGCAATACGTATGTACATAGCATACAAAATTCATTTAATGAGCTCGGATGTTGGAAGGAGGCTCAGATTTGTGTAAAGGCCAGTCATCGTCCTATTATGGAGCATTATCCAAGGCTAGGACAGTTAGGCTACCAAGGTTTATGTTCAATTACTCTTACTGGTAGGTTTCTCATACACTTTATGCCATGATGTTATGCATAAACCGGCAACCAATATGCTGCCTAAGGTTTAGCTAATGTCTCCATATTGATCAAGCAAGGCATTGAAAGTGAATTAAAGCAACCATACCAACGAAGAGTAATGGGATAAACCGGCAACCAACCACTAACCCAGCCACAGAATATCACTCGACATACGGGACTAGGCCATTAAATACAATTATATCATCATAGCCACGGAGAATTGCAATCTAGAAACTGAAAAAACCAGAAACAGTTTCTGTTTTCTTTTCCAGAAACTGCACAGCAGGATTTACAAATGTACATATGAAAAGAATATTCAAAAATGATGCCAAATAATGTAAGTATAGAACGATGCACATAGAGAACATTCTTAACAGATGAACAAGGTACGTAATGTAGCTAACCTAGCAGGTGTGTGTGGACATAAGCATTCACAGCGTTTGATGAAGTCTAGACGCTGAAATCACCGGAAACAGGTTCTGGTTTTTTTTCCAAAAACTGAACAAAAAGAGGTTCCAACAACTAGTGCCCCGATGAAGTATAGAGGCTGAAAGCACCAAAAAAATAACCAGCACAAGCCACTGTTTTTCCAACATTACCAACATAGGCAAAAAAGGCCCTCTAGATACTGTTCTCTGGATGCAATATAGAAGAGAGATCACTAGAAACAAGTTTCTATTTTTTTTCCAGAAACTAGCTTACGGTAGGGTGAAGATGGGTAAATTGGTGACCGGCAAACATTTAGGACTGTTAGAGATCAACAGGGCACATCAAAATGCAAATGACATATTCCACAATCTCAAAGGGGTTGCAACAGACTAGTGCCCCGACGGAGTATAAAGGCTGAAAACACCAAAAAAACACTAGAACAGCCACTGGTTTTTACACAATACGAACATAGCCAAAAAAATGGCAGCGGGGGAACTGATATCTCAATGCAATCTAGAAGAGAAATCACTGGAAACAGTTAAAGTTTTTCTTCCAGAAACTACAAAACAGGGGTCCAACATACTAGTGCTCGATGAAGTATAGAGGCTGAAAGCATATGAAAAAATCACCAGAAATGCCAACGTAGGTTCACGGAGATGCCATCTAGAAGAACATGTTGGTTTTTTTTTCAAAAACTAACAAAAAAGGGTTCCAAAATACAAGTGATCCGATGAAATCTAGAGGCTGAAATCACCAAAAAATTTAACTACAAATGTTTTTTTTTTTTTTTGCCAATAGAAGAACATGTGAATTCACCAATACTAGTGCTCGAATTTGGGTCTAGAAACCACCACAAGTATTTTCCATAAACTGAACACAAGGTTTTGGAAAAAACTTACCGAATTCGAGCCTATGGAGGAGGAGATGTGGTTCCCTTGGAGATTCCCCAAATGCGAGGAAGGGATAGCAAGTCCGAGGTACCGGCGACGACAGAGGTAGAGGACCAAGGATTGACGTCTCGGCTGGACAGTTTTACGGCGTGCACCGTTTCCTCTACATCGAAGGAGGAGGTTTACCCACCTAGGTCGCCGCACCGACGTTGTCCCAATAAATCTCCCCGTTTTGAAGGGGTAACAATAGACGACAATGGTAGAGGAAGGGGGTGACGGTACATGCGGAAGGGGGGTCGATGGTGTCTGCGGCGGATTCGAAATCCGGAGATTGGGGGAAAATAGGGCAACGGATTGAGGGCTTCAGAAATCGATGAAGGTTGGAGGACTAAACCCGGTTTCGAATCAAGGATACAGGAGAACTACGTGATTGCAGTGTAGAAAAGCTGAGAAAGAACAAAGCTTGCAACGGGAAGTGCAGGAATCTGCACTGTAGATGTGCAGAAAAATAGCTCAAGTGGCAGGGGGAAGGTGAACTCAAAAACCGGGGAATAACTCGAAAAACTTTTTGAGTTCCATTTCGAGTTTTTCTTCTCCGAACATGAACTTGGGCTTGGAATCATAACTCGAGTGGGCTTTCTCGAGTAAACCGGGTAAACCGAACAACCCTTTTATAACTAAATGAAAATAAATTGTTAGCCAATAAAAACGATTTCGAATTATTGACTAATTATTGAACAACATTAAAATAATAATACAAAAACAAAAAAACAACAACAACAACAAAATAGTGGACAGCAAATAAAGAGAGAAGTGAACATCATACCAAACGAAAAGAAAAAAAAAAGGACAAATTAGAAGTGAGACTTTCGTGGGAAAACAATAATTTTTATTTATTTGGTGACTTCCAACGATCCAGCCTCAAAAACTCCTAATTTATAGCCACTCTTAAGTCACATTTCTCTGAAACTCCCCCCAAACCTTAAAAAGAACCTTCCGTTCAATTTATTAATTCAAATTTAAAATTTAAAATTTATTAATTTATTAATTTTTTTAATATAATAAAAAAAATTTATATAAAATTACATTTTAATTTAAATTAAAGACTCAAAGAATCAAATTAAACGGACCCAAAATCTTCTCCTGATTATAATTTATAATCAAAATCTCTCACTCAAAAACCCCCCCAATCTCCAGAGAGAGACTAATATACATATATATGTATAATATGTTACCGACATAAATTGATATAGTATTTAGACATATTTTTGGGTGTGTTTGAGCTTTGCTCTGATTTGATCAGAAAATGGCTACAAGCAAGACGGAGAGCTACAACAAGTACAAGATGTTCAAGTGCTTCAAGCGCAAGTTCAAGATCACCGACGTGGGCCCACCTCCCGACGTCAGGGACGCCTTCACGACGTTCTCCGCCGGCGCAGAGCACTTGTCCGCCGATCAGCTCCGCCGTTTCATGGCGGAAAACCAGGGCGAGCCCGGCGTCACCGTTACCGAGGCGGAGGCGATTATCAGGGAGGTGCTGCGGAGGCGAAACGACGTCACTCAAGACAAAACGACAACGACGGCAACTGGGCTCAAGCTTGACGATTTCTTCCAGCTTCTGTTTCTCGATGATTTCAATGGTCCTTTCAAATCCGAGGTTCGAAACGCGTTTTGAATTTCTGTCGTTTTCTTTTCTGTTATGAAAGTTTATGGAAACTGGAAATAGATTGTGTTTTTAATTATTTTCCATAATAGGTAGAGACTATGACGTTTGGACAGGTGTTTTTTCTTGTTTCTTTGTGCTCTGAATTTAGACAGTAGAATTTATTTATTTATTTTTAAACATTTTTAGAGAGTAAAATGTACTTAAGTACGTTTCGTACTGTTTTATTTCCTCAAATACTGCTCGGTTCCACTTGAGTTACGCACAGAGATGAAAGTTTTCACAGTTTGTAAAGATTATGAAATTGAATTGGAACATTTATAATTTACAACGGTACAAAGTTATAAGCTTTGTTTGACTTTTGACACCTCTTTTCCCTTTTTGGTATGATAATTTTGGGTACTGTTTTTAAGGAGGTGCTCTAATTCTACTACTAATGGCTTGATTGGTTCATAGGTTTTAACAAAAATTTAAATTTTATATTAGAGAAAATGCTGTAGTAAAAAAGTTTGAATTGTGGTTCAAGTCTATGAAGCAAACGACACTTGAATTAATAAACTTGCAGAAACAAAACAAAAACAAACAAGAGCACACACGCAAGTTTTTTAGTGATTGATAGTACAAGAGAAATCACACCCCTCTCATGTTTTCGCTAACCTCAGTCTTAATCCAAAAAACGGCGCCCTCTAATGGTTGATCCTTGTGTTGACTCTGTTGTGGTCAATAATAATTAGACTTCACAACTCAATAACTGTAACTTGGTGAAACTGATTTACTTTGTAGTTGCCTGTTGAGCATTATTATGTTTGAAATAGTATTCCTATTGTCCTTTGAAGAGGTCTGAAGTGAGAACCTTTTTACCTTTGTTGTAGAGAGAATCAAACAATTGTGGCTGTGATTCCAGGTACACCATGATATGACTGCACCACTATCCCATTACTTCATATACACAGGGCACAATTCCTACCTAACTGGGAATCAACTCAGCAGTGATTGTAGTGACGTCCCGATTATAACGGCATTACAAAAAGGCGTTAGAGTCATTGAGCTTGATTTATGGCCATCTTCCAAAGATGAGGTTAATGTTCTTCATGGAAGGTTTGTATGTGTTGATTTTCAGAACCCATCATCAGTTTTTTGACAGTTTGGCTTTATAGAGTTGGTTATGCTTGTTTAGGAATATCAATGACACAAATTAAGTAAGAGTCTATCTCAAATGCAAATACCAATGTTATTGCTATTTTTAGTATGAAAATGACATATTTTTTATGTTCTTTTATTTTTGTGCTACAATGCATTGTGCTATTTGAAATGCTATGTCTAGTTGTTATAATTATTAAGCTTTGAAACTTGTAAAAATACTTATTTTCTTTCTTTGGAGACGAAATGAGCTGCTCTAGTGATGAAGAGAGTCGGCCATAACATAGCCAAACGAGAAAAAATGAGGTCAATAAATTGAAAAAAATTAAATGAAAAGGTTAATATATCAATCAATGGTAATCAAATTGGCATATGCTATACTATGTGCCAAACAACACGTACCACATTGGAGAGTGATTTTTCTATTAAAATGCTAAAATTCAGCGTCAACATGATAATTTAGCAATGTTTTGGAAAGAAGTCCATTGTTTTGACATTGTTCTTTATATCACTTGTAGGACCTTAACCTCTCCTGTGCCACTCCTCAACTGTTTGAAGTCCATAAAGGAATATGCTTTCTATAAATCTTCATACCCGGTTATTATTACCCTAGAAGACCACCTTACTCCAGATCTTCAGGCTAAAGTTGCAGAGGTTAGCTTCCACTGTTTCTTCATGTCTTTGAGTCATCACTTTTATCTCTAAGATTTATCTTTCTGACGTTCAAATAGTTTTGTATGTAGATGATCACTCAAACATTTGGAGACATGTTGTATTATCCTCAATCTGAGGGCCTGGCAGAATTCCCTTCACCAGAATCTTTGAAGCATAGAATTATCATTTCGACCAAACCACCAAAAGAGTTCCTCGAATCAAAGAATCTCAAGGACAAGGGAAATATCTTGCCTAATGGAAAAGAATCATCTGAAGAAGAAACCTCAGTAAAGGATGCACTAGACCTTAGAGTTGAATTTGAAGCCGATGATCGGGTGAGCTGGGAATGGAACTTATCTCCCCATGATTTGGTTTCTGTTCCGCTGTTTTCTAACAATGTCTCTTCAAATAAATGCAGAGTGATAGTGATCAAGACGACGAGGACAACAATGTGAGTGGTAGTAAACCAAGTCAGCCAGCGGCGCCTGAGTACAAACGCCTAATTACAATCCACGCTGGAAAACCAAAGGGTGGTCTGAAGGATGCATTGGCAGTTGTAGGTGACAAAGTTAGACGTCTCAGTTTGAATGAGCAGGCGCTTGAAAAGGCTGCTTCTTCTCATTCAACTGAGCTTGTGAGGTATCTTTCAAACTTCGCTGGTGACAGAAACCTGCAAGAAGTTTTTATAAGATTATAAAAAACTCTCAATTTTTCTCTCTAAAATGGACGTTGATATCTGCTGTTGTGCTTTCTAGGTTCACTCAGAGGAATGTTTTGAGAGTATACCCCAAAGGGATGCGAGTCACGTCCTCAAATTACAAGCCAAATATTGGGTGGATGTACGGAGTTCAAATGGTTGCATTTAACATGCAGGTTAGCTTCTAGTGTTTGATAAAAGCTCAAACCATCACTTAGAGGATTTTCACCTTTTGTTATCTCAACTATTTATATATATATATATATATATATCAAAGTTTTTCTCTTGTTTACTCAACAGGGATATGGTAAATCTCTCTGGTTAATGCATGGGATGTTTAGAGCCAATGGTGGTTGTGGTTATGTGAAAAAGCCAGAGTTTCTAATGCAAAAGGGTCCGAGAAATGAGGTCTTTGATCCTAAAAGAACTTTGCCGGTGAAAAAGACATTAAAGGTGAGTCTGAAATGTTTCTAGCTTACAAGAGTATTTAATTTGTATGATGACAACCCAATTATCTTTTTTTTTTAAAACCAATTTTTCTAATAGCTTAAAGCTACAAGGAGTTGAGCCAACAATAGTTTTATATGTTAACATTTCTGATGCATTTTTTCTTAATATAACAGGTGAAAGTATACATGGGGGACGGATGGCGATTGGATTTTAGCCAAACACATTTTGATACCTACTCACCACCGGACTTCTACACAAAGGTTACAACTTAACTCTCACCTGATATGATGTGACAAAATCATGTCCTTTCTTTCCAGTTACATTTATTTCCAACGGGCTTAGGTGGTCTGGCCTAGTCATAATATGCCACTAATTCGAGGATCCTTCGATTTAAGCTTTATTCATTGGTTTACTTGACTATCAATGGGGTGGGAATGCTTTATATTTATTTATTTAAGTTTCCTTTCAGAATTGGTTTGAGATTCATTACTCCAGCCCCAACTTTAAGGTCCCTACCCAATTAACCGAGTCTCCGGCACAAGGCTTGTAGTCTAGTGGAAGTGAATCTGAGCCCATTGCTCAAGTAGAATTGGTGGGTTAGATGTTTTACATTCTATTGGCGGGTTGTTAAATTTTTCCTATAAATAAAGAAGGGAGTTTTTCTGATAATTTTATACTTTCAGTTGTTAAATATATATTAAAAATAATATATTTTGTATATTTTTTTTGATGTGATTTTGACCATATTTAACCGTTAAAAATTGGCTCTGTCCGGAGCGATGCTTACTTCAGCCATTGAGCCAATTTCTCGTCCTGTTTTCCTCCACTTTTGTCTATAATGATAAAAAATGATCATTCCAACTTTAGTACCCGACCGACAAATTGATATACATGAGATAGGAACAGCTCTCACAGCCTTTTCCTAATGAAAAAGATTATTATGTATTATTTATTTATTTATTTATTTTGCCTTTTTCAGGTTTACATTGTTGGTGTACCTGCTGACTGTGCCAAGAACAAAACACGGATAATTGCAGATGATTGGGCACCTATTTGGGACGAGGAATTCACTTTTCCTTTGACCGTACCTGAGCTTGCCTTGCTTAGAATTGAAGTGCGAGAATATGATAGGTCCGAGAAGGATGACTTTGGGGGGCAGACATGTTTGCCTGTCTCCGACCTTAAACCGGGCATCAGGGCAGTCCCACTTTATGACAAAAAGGGCGATAAACTCAAATCTGTCAAGCTCTTAATGCGCTTTCAATTCCTATAAAAAAAACTCAAGACGGTTTTTAAGTCATCATGGGGGACTGTTTAGCTGGGTGAAAAATTAAAAAAAATAATAATTCGAGTTATAATTTTATTCGAGTTCATGTTTTTTTAAATTTGAACTCGAGTTTGGGACTAAAACTCGAGTTTAAGTTTCTCCTTCAACTCGAGTTCAGAAACTCGAACTCAAATTAATGAATAATATTTTTTCTATTCTTAAAAATGCTATAACTTTTTCATTTTAATTTTGATTGAAATGATTTTTTTTTATGCGTTGACAACGAAAAGACGAATAAAATCTCACTCATATACCCTATTAAAATTTTTCATCAGCATTGAGTTTTTATTAAAATACTATTTAAATACAAATTTAAGTTTTGACTCATTCAAATACAAATTTAAAAAGATTTTTATTTCAAATCATAATTTAAATGTACACAATCAAAATCCAAACTCAAGTTATAATTTAAATTTAATTTAAGAATTATATTCAAATTAAACTCTAAAAAAATAAGTTAATTCGCCAATGATGAAGGGAAAAAAAAAATCATCAATGAAAAGGACTCTTTTGCAAGGGTGTCACCTGTAAATATGAGAAAAATGCATGGGAGCACCGCACCTATCAGTGTAGTGTAGGTGGGTCTCATCTATAGTCTCATGTTGCGTGACTATCTTTTATTGGTGGACGCCGCTGGTGTTCAATAATTTTATTATAAATGTGCTGATTTTCACAATCTCAGGGGTAACCAGCTTTTTTTTCTTTTCTTTTCATTTTTCTAATTTTTCCTCGTGTTGGTGTTATGGGAACAAACATTGGTGGGAGGAGGTCATTCATGTTAGAGATCTAATCATTGTTCTTAAGATGATTAAACAAACTTTTTTTTTAAAGTTATTAATCTAGTTCTTAAATTCTTGAAACAAGTGCGGAGAGGAAGACTACGATGTGAGAGGTTTGCTTCTTAAATTTGAAATAATAAGAATTTATGTCAGTTTTATTGCTTAATATACACTACACCAAACAGGAAAAATGAAATCGAAGTTACAAACAAATTAAAAAAAAAAAATGAAAGGGACTTAGACCAACCGACAAATATGATTAATTATGTAGGGCCAGAGTCTGATAAATTAAATGCAATCCTCATCTACGCCTTTAAGTGTTTGGACTTTTAGGCATACCAATTGAAGAATCCTATGACGTTACATTATTACAATGATACCAATCTTACAATTGCATGTAAAATAAAATGTTGCCGACTTCCATAAAAATAGCATAAAGTGTAGAAGCCGTTTAATCCAAGAATAAACTCATAAACTTCTCCGTGAACTTGGAATACAAGTCATATTGAAGTTGATCAATTTATTGCACGATAATTTTTTTAGTAGAAGGACTTAGGATACCTTATTGTACCATTATTCAATTGATAAACAGATTTGTTCCTTAGAGCACAAGTAAAAATATAAAACCAACTAAAAAAAAAGAGTGTTTTCAATGAGTGCCTCCACGTCAAAGGCTCAAGGGTTGTAAGCAGCAGCAAAAAAACATGTTTTCACCGCGGCAAATGTATCTTTGTTCCCTATATCTAGCCAGTAATATATAAGCTATAACCATATTACATCAAAAAAATTTAATATTATATATTGTTGGGTCAAATATTGTCGTTGAATCTCCATCTTACACGTGTCAACTCGAGTCGATTAAGTCACAGGTTCAACAGCCAAGAAGACAATCCAACATCTAAGCACATGGAGCAACCAAAGACAATTAGAAGACGATCCAAATTCAAAATCAGCCTGAGTTGACAGGAAAATATGGACGATTACGACTGCTCAAAAGAACAGAGGAGTCGAACTGTTCTAAAGAATATTTTGAGAATCTTCCAAAGAATCTTTCATTTTAGGATTTTGGAAAGCTACCAAATCGCACCAAAAGCGGTCCAAATCTCAGAAGATACTAGGTCAACAAGAAAAGTTGAATAAAGACACAATCAATAAAGTCAACTCTATGAAGAAAAGGAAAACTACTCAAAATAAGCAATTACAGTCTGTAGCTATAAAAAGAGGCCTTCCTATGACGTCAGGAACATTCGAAGATATACAAACTCGTGCATTACCTCTGCAATTTGCCGAGAGCCGCCATTCTTTCTCTCTTTCCTCCATTATTGTCTCTCCCGAGTTCTAGCGAGCTCTTTTGTACTATTTTCTATGTATATAGTGCAAACAACAAACACTACAGTGAACATAACCCTATTACTTGGGACGAACCACTATAAATTCTGGTGTCTCTTTTTATTTCTCACACTTTATATTGTCACTCGTACGCTAGACCAACTTTAGGTGAACAGAGCAAACATCTATCACTCTATAAATTGAGCATTAACCCCTAATACAAATTCAACATAGACCAACTTTAGGTGAACAGAGCAAACATCTATCACTCTATAAATTGATCATTAACCCTTAATACAAATTCAACTGTTGGAAATCGACCTCCACACATATTATACCAAGTAGTTACACGTTCATACAAAATGTTGTACTATCTGTACAACCACCGAATTTAAAACCTTACCAAAATATATATTTTTTCGTTTTGCAAAAAAAAAACCTTCAAACTATGTTGTGACTCAAGTAGGACGGAAGAAGATTTTGAAATAATTACATAAACTGCCTACTTTTAAAGCATTGAATGTAAAAATCCCACTTATAAACAATATTACAAAAAGGCATAATTCTGAATAATAATGCTCATCACCTAAGACCTTTTGGTCTAGTAGCGCTGGGGGATCTGCGTAGGGTGGGGTTTGGGTATGGGGTTATAGGTTCCATCCTATATTGTATTAAAAAAAGGAATAATAATGCTCATCAAATGCCAGATACAGCCCTATTTGTTATTTTAGGTATGTTCCTTAAGTGGTATTTTTTTCTTTATGTCTGGCTGATTTTTCTGTTTTTATAATATATTCCATTTTGACCTACCATTTTAAACCCAATTATTATTTTGTAATAACTTTTAATTTAACACTGATATTATCTTTAAATTATTATATTTTATCTCTCATCTTTTACTTTTGAATTTAGGCTTGGGTAATGATATCATCATTAAGATAATGAAAATGCAAAGAGGTTTTTTATTTGTTGTTTCGTTTGCTTGTTTTATATTTTTATCATAATTTTCTCGTTACTTAACATAATGAAAATAGACAAATTGTAAATTCATGTTTCGTGCATTTAGATTGTTTGCAAACTTTGTATTCATTCTTTTTTATAACGATACCATCATTATTATAATGAAAGTGGGGGTCGTTTTTTATTTGTTAGTTTGTTTGCTTGTCTGTAGCTCGTTTTATAACGATACCATAATTTTCACATTCATTAACATAACAAAAATAAATAGGTTGTGGACTCGTGCTTTGGTGCATTTTAATTGTTTTGAATTTTTGTAAACTTTGTATTCATTCTTTTTTATAATGATATCGTTATTAAGATAATAAAAATGTGAGAGATTTGTTTTGTTGTGTTGTTTGCCTGGCTATAGCTTGATTTTGTGCATACTTGTCTGGATTTTATTTATAACAAAACCACAAGAATTTGTTAGGCGATTTTTTTATTCGTTAAAAAAAGTTTCATTTTCTTTAAATAATTAAGTTTTATTAAATTTAATTGTTTGACTTTTTTATTTAAATTTGAATACTCATCCATCTTATCTTTCTTATTTGTTCATTCGTTAGTTTTTTTTTTTTTTTTTTTTTTTCATTATGTAAGGATATGAATGTTTATACATATATATATATATATATATGATAGTATGTATTTTTGTAAATAAAATAATGAACATATATTTTTAGATTGTTTTAAATAACCATTTCTCTAAATAATCCTTTCCGTTTTGTGCTCGGACAGAAAGATAAAGGGCTGGTTGGGTTACATTTTTGAATTATGGTGATTTGAATGTAGATCTTGAGTTGAATTTGAGTTATAATTTAAGTTGAAGTTGTAACTTGAGTTTGTGTTTAGATGTGTAAATTTGAGTTATGTTTTGAATTGAGAATCTATTTGAGTTTGTGTTTGAGTGGGTCAAAACTTGAATTTATATTTAGATAATATTTTAATAAAAACTCAATGGTGATGAAAAATTTTAATAGGGTATATGGGTGAGATTTTATTCGTCTATTCGTTGTGAACGCATAGAAAAAAATCATCTCAATTGGAATTAAAACGAAAAAATTATGACGTTTTTAAGAATATAAAAAATATTGTTCATTAACTTGAGTTTGAGTTTAAGAACTTGAGTTGAAGGAGAAATTTTAAACTAAATTTTAGCCACAAACTCAAATTAAAACTTAATTTTATAAATAAACATAAATTTAAATAAAATTATAATTTGAGTTGAAATTTTTTTTGAGTTTTACTCTAAAAGAAACAAATCTAAAAGCACTCACTGGGCACTGTAGATGTTAGAAATTTCTAAAAAAAAAAACTTGCAATTCAAAGACCATTTTCACAGTATCTGTCAGATCAGCAATCAGCACCAAAAAAAGAAGATGATCCTTTTCTTGAATGCTGCGTCATACGTGTATATTATAATAACATTATCCAAATATTCCGAAGACAATAACGCAAAGAACCCAACTTTGTAAAGCTTAATACAGCTTAGCCAGGTGTAAAGTTTATTTATTTATTAATTTATTGTTGAAACAAAACACAAAAAACCAATTTGGGCCCCACCGCCCACTAACCCATCTCTCATAAAAATAAAAAAAAATCCCTCTCTCTCAGTTTTGCACCGTCCATATCTCCGGAAGAAAAGGCTCCCCAAACTTCCTTCTCCTTCTTATTCTTCCGACAAGTTACTCCGACCAAAGAAACGCCCGCTCTTATCCGTGCCGGGAATAGCGGCGAAGCCATGTCCAAACAGACGTACAGAGTGTGCTTCTGCTTCCGGAGGCGGTTCCGGCTGGCGGTGGCGGAGGCGCCGAGGGAGATCAAGGAGGTCTTCGATCAGTACTCCGAGAACGGAATCATGACCGTCGATCACTTCCACAGGTTCCTGGTGGAGTTTCAGAAGGAGGAGAGTGTCACCAAGGAGGAGGCTCAGGCCATTATCGACCACAGCATTCACGACCTCATGCACCTCCCGATCTTCCACCGCAAGGTTCTCAATCTCGAGGCCTTCTTCAAGTACATCTTCTCCGACAACAATCCTCCGATCTCCACTTCTCGCAAGGTAGCTCAATTGATCGACCGATCGATCGATGTCTTTTCTTCGTTGAAATCGATTGAGTTTTGTTTGATTCTGAGCGTTAATTGGAGGTTTTTTTTTTGTGTTTACTGTTTAGGTTCATCATGATATGACAGCTCCGTTGTCGCATTACTTCATATACACAGGGCATAACTCGTATCTGACTGGGAATCAGCTGAGCAGCGACTGTAGCGATGTGCCGATCATCAAAGCTTTGCAGAGAGGAGTGAGAGTGATTGAGTTGGATATTTGGCCTAATTCCACCAAAGACAACATCGAAGTTCTCCATGGAAGGTACGGTCTTCAATTCAAGCATAGATAATTACGGACCTTCCATTTTCTTCACTAGAATTGTGCTTCTTTTTTTTTTTTTCCTGTCTTTTTCCATAATTTTGGTAGCACCCATTTAATTTCCAGCTGAAAAGGAAGCTCGAGAAAAAGATGGAATTTTTTTGTGCGAAAAGAGAATTATCGATATTTTGATTTGATCTTGGTCAACTGAGTTTAATGCATCAAAAATCTAAATAAGGAAATTTATTAATTGATCGCCATTCCTATAAATTGATCGACTAGACTATTCGGAGTTGCCAAATCAAAGGTTTGTGCTTTAAGGGAAGTCACATTGGAATAATTATAATAGAAATTATACTTCAATTTTACATATAATTAAGAGATGGGTTGTTTAATATAGGACATTGACTACTCCAGTGGAACTCATCAAATGTTTGAGGTCTATAAAGGAACATGCATTTGTAGCGTCTGAGTATCCCGTTGTAATAACTCTGGAAGATCACCTTACTCCAGATCTTCAAGCTAGAGTTGCTGAGGTGAGTGTTTGTAGTTTTCTTGGGGTTTCGAGTTCCCGTGTACTTACCACATTTTTCTGTCTCGAATTCCAGATGGTCACTGAAACAATTGGAGATATACTGTTTTCTCCTGGCTCGGAATGCTTGAAGGAGTTTCCTTCCCCAGAGTCATTGAAGAAACGGATTATCATATCGACCAAACCTCCTAAGGAGTACCTTGAGGCCAAAGACGCTAAGGAAAATGAAAACGGTTCGCAGAAAGGAAAGGCTGGTGATGAAGAAGCATGGGGAAAAGAAGTAAAAGACCCGAAATCTCTTAATGCAACTGATAGCAAGGTCTGTGGAGATTTCATGTGTAAGTGTTGCGCCTATATTCTCTTGATCCATCTGACAGTTTTAACTTTCTATTTCTCACAGAATGATCTGGACGATGAAGAAAGTAATGATGAGGGAGATGATGATGATCTCAATTCCCAACAATTAGAAGCACCTGAATATAAACGTTTAATTGCCATTCATGCTGGGAAGCCTAAAGGTGGACTAGATGAGTGCCTCAAGGTTGATCCTGACAAGGTACGGCGTCTTAGTATGAGCGAGCAACAGCTTGAAAAGGCAGCAGAAACTCATGGGAAAGATATTGTCAGGTATGCATAGTATTCATGGACTTTTCGTTTTGAAGATCTCTGAATTTGTTCTTATTGAGATGAAATTGGCATGCTTTAATTGTTTTAGTTATGAAGAAAATAGCATTTTGCTGATATGTGTTCAAAGTACATGTCTATATTGGTTAGTTTAAAAAATTCTAACTAGTGTAGGAAAAAATCTTGATACAGCTTGAAGGTGATCAAGGTCTTTTGACAAATTGAATACGATGGATGGAGCAAAAATGTGCATTAAGTTTAGAGGCCTGCTAATAGTAGAACTAGTATGCGTAACAGTGGGCCAATCATGCAATTTAGTCAGGAACGGTTTCTTGATGAATTTAATCTATTATTAGAATAGGTTGAATTTGATAGGTTTCAGACACATCAGTTTATTCATTGGGTCCATTGTTCTATTCATGCAATGTCATTCAGTGCATTACCATTCTAGCAAAAACCGACTATTGGTGTTGTATTAGATCATTTTGATTTCATATATTCTACAAGTTTTAAAATTTTGGTGATTGCTTTTCTATAGGTTCACCCAGCGGAATATTCTTAGAGTTTATCCCAAGGGCACACGTTTTGACTCATCGAACTATAACCCATTAATTGGGTGGATGCACGGAGCTCAGATGGTTGCATTTAACATGCAGGTAGCTTTTTATTCCATGAATGTTTTTAGATCATTTTCTGGATTTATAATTTCTGTTTCCTTGATTATACCTAGAGTTGGAAAGGTCTATTATGTATTTAGTGACACTGTGAGGTTGCATTTTCTAGTTTAGTGGCAGTCCTGCTAATAGGTCAATTCTTTTAATAATTTTATATTGAGGTTAAAAAGGAATTGCTTGGAATTTTTCCATTAAAAGGTAATGTGTTACTGACTTGTCTGTTTAAGCTGCTAAATAAGAACTGCAATTCTGAAAGCCAATAAGATAAGCCAATTAGATTTAAGCTTTGTCTGAATCTCGTGGGAAACTTGCAAACCACTTTGTTACTTGTTTTCTTGGTCTCAGGGTGGTTTCAGCTTGCTAAAACTGTTTGCCAGTTGTTTATTAATTGGTTCGCATTGTTGGTTTTTTCATGTGACAGGGATATGGGAGATCACTGTGGTTGATGCATGGAATGTTCACATCCAATGGTGGGTGTGGCTACGTGAAAAAACCAGAGTTTCTACTCAAGACAGGTCCGCATAATGAAGTCTTTGACCCCAAAGCCAAGTTGCCTGTTAAAACAACTTTGAAGGTGAGTGATTTACTTCCATGCTTCTGACTGTACTCAGTTTTATCAAGCCTCCTTTTCAAGTCTCTTAATCATTTCTTCATTTTGTTTCTGTCATCGAAAAGGTTACTGTTTATATGGGTGAAGGATGGTATTACGACTTTCGGCACACACACTTTGATGCATACTCCCCACCAGATTTTTATACGAGGGTAAGTAAGCTCTTATATCATGATTTGTTCCATATGTCTGTTCTTTCTCAAGTTGGTCTCATGGTATAATTGTCTTGTCTAGTGTTAATTAGATCTTCAGGAAGATCCCCCCAAAAAGTGCGCGTCTTGTTTTATGTACAACTTCATTGTGGTTTTGGTTTTATCTTTGTTGTGATTTCACGTCACTCTTTTCTCTCCGTCTTCTCTCCGCTGGTTCATTTTCCTCCTAGTAACTTTCTTGGAACTAAAGAGCTTCAAACACGATTTTGCTGAATTGAAATGCAGATTGGCATTGCTGGAGTCCCTGCAGATACTGTGATGAAGAAAACAAAGACACTAGAAGATAACTGGATACCTGCTTGGAATGAGGAATTTGAATTTCCGTTAACTGTTCCGGAACTGGCTCTGCTTCGTATTGAAGTTCACGAATATGACATGTCTGAAAAGGATGACTTTGGAGGCCAAGCATGCCTGCCTGTATCCGAGTTAAGAAAAGGAATCCGAGCAATTCCATTGCATGACCGTAAGGGAGAAAAGTACAGATCTGTAAAGCTTCTTATGCGCTTCGACTTCGTTTGAAATAAATATCTTATGAGGGTCTTTTATGAGTGTCTTTTATGAGTGAAGGACAATGTTGTAAAGCTTTTTTTTATTTTTTATTTTTTTCTCATGCGTTCACTTCTTTTATTCTTTTTCAATTTTATTTTGTGAGCTTGTACGTAATTAGTCATAAATGCTTAAGTGTGTTATACGTGCGTCGTTTGAGCTGTGGTGTGGCAATACATTTCTCTTTTAAACTAATAAGGATAAAACCTGATTGTGAACCTTATTGTACTAATAAAAGTAATGCTTGTACTCTTTTCTCATATATATTGGTGTTCATGAGCTGGAAATTTTCCCAAAACCTCCCAGTCTCATAAATTTTCTTTACTTTGATTTTTCGTATTCGCTTAAACGCAGTACAAGGTTGCAGGTCAGAAATAAGGTCCCTACTTATCTTTCTGTTGATTCACCCGTGTCTTTGCAAGTCATACTTGCTTCTCTTTTTTGGGAATGACAAAGCAACGATTACGAATCCATAGTGAAGATGCCCGTGATCAGTTATACCGGTGTGGTTTGTATTTCTTACAGCTCACAAAACAAAACATTATAGGAATGAGACTGTTGAGAAATAGAACATGGTTGTTTATGTTGAGCAGAAGAAACTTCAGAAAGATAATTGGTGGTCTATTCTGCAAGGAAAGAAGGAGAGCGAATAAAAAGACCATGTATTTGTTGTTCCGTTCAACCCAAATAACCCAAGATAAGCAAAGGAAGAGTTCTAATTCCTTTTTAGAGAAAGATTTAGCCAAGAAATAAAAAGAATATCCGAAAAGGATTGTTGAAAGAGAGAAGAAAAAGGTAAAAGAAAAGGTGACGATTTCCAAACATGTTTAGCGAACTTGCAATGTAGATTCCCAAATATTAGAACATAAAGAACAAATGGCAAAAGGAATAATTTTCCGATTAAAGAGACCAATAGCAGAAGGTATGCATCATGATAAGTTCTCCAAGAAAAAGATTTAACTTTATTAGGAAGAGAAGGTGACCGGAAAAAGTTCCACCACTATTGCATAGAGGCAGGATTAGAGGAAGAAGCTGAATTGTTAGAGGCGCAGCAGCCAGATTTAACTTGATAGTATCCATTTTTTGTGTAGTGCCAAATAAGACGATCAAAAGCCGAACGAACACTCAAACGGAATAGCTGAAATTCTTTCTCTATCAGTAGGAGAAAATAACTGCTGAAGAAGAGACTAGTTCCAAATTCCATGGCTGATAATTATCTCCGCCACTTTGAGATCATCATGAAAAGGATTCCCCAACAAAGACTTAAAAGATGATGAACCTGACAAATACATAGAAAGTAATTTAAAAAAATTCAATAATAAAACTTAAAGTGACAGTGTGTGGGTAGTGAAATTTGATAAAGAAATAATACATAGCGTGTTATAATAGCAAGTAGGAAATTATGATAAATAAATGTCTATGCAGTAATGTTTCCATTCTGAAACCTAGAAAAAAAAAAAAAAAAAAAAAATCAACATGAGTTCAATATCTAATTCTGAAACAGATTTATTAACTACAAATAAAATTAGAATTCAAAATTTAAAATTTAAACAAAATAATCTGTTCCTAAAATCTGAAGTGATCAAATTTATTTTAGTCATATAAAATATTGAACTTAAATTAAAATTAGATAGTGAGAAGAAAATATTACAGCAGAGATATTAGAAATCTAAAAAAAAAAAATTCAAAATGATATAACCATTTACTTTTGAAATGATAAAACTTACTCAAAACTAAATTTCCAAAACTCGTTTTCACAGCATCCAAATAGAAAGCTTGAATTTTTGAAATAGAGATATATAGAGAGAAGCTCACGGACTACAGAAGAGAGGAATTTGATTTTGATATCCCAAAAGTAATCAGAATTGAACAAGATGCAAACAAGTAAGAAAAAATTTTCTGAGTACCATTTTGCAACATTGTCCCCTTACAAGTCAGAAAAATTTAGGAGTCAATATAAACATTGACCGTCCATTGCAAAGAGGATTACTCATCAGACTCTGTGAAAAGAATGAAGAACTTTGGATTGAAACCCGTTACGAAGATCTTCCTAATTTTTGCTACTAGTGTGGTCTCCTCAGTCACACTAACTTTTCATGTTCTGTTGCTATGGAATTAAAAGACAAAGGTATCCATCTCAGTTTTGACTATGGAGCAGACCTCAAAGGTATCAAACCTCGTTTAACCAATTCCATGGCCTATGGCCATCCTGATCTTTCTAACTCTACTCCTGTCACTTTCAATTCACGTCTGGTTGAATCAGCCATCCATGATATCAAAAAACAAAACCTTCGGTTGGATTAAAACTTCTTCTTGGAGGATCAAATGATATCTCTAGATGAAGGCAAAGATATTGTGGTTGATCCTTCCCCTTCCCCTCCTATTGTTTACAAAAGAAATGTACAGAATTCCATCAAGAATGAATTCTGGGATTTTCATGCGCCTGCGACCAAAAGTTAATGATGCTTCAACTATCTCCACATTATCCTCTGATCAGAAAACAACTACTATCAAGGAGAACTAAAGAAATTCTTTCCCCAATCTTACTATTAGAGGACCTCTAGTTCTATTGAATTCTTCTGTATTACTGTGTTAAAAGTGTCTGTTCTACTATTTCTACAAATCTGTACCTTCCTTTGCATCTTCATGTAATCAGTTGTACTTTATTTGTAGTGTTACTTCACAGTTTATGTACTGCTATATCTCGAAATTTGAACTTTCCCCTTGTATTTATGCAAATGTTTTAGTTCCGTATCCTATAAACTTTAAATAAATCTATTTATAAACGTAATCATGAAGACTAAGGCAATGTCTAAACGTCAAAAACACCATAGAACTCCTCTACTGCTGATCCTACATCTCCATCACTAGGGCATGTTCTTTTGTCTAAAAAACTAAAAAAAAAACAACTCGAGTTTCAACTTTATTCAAGTTCATGTTCTTTTAAGTTTCAACTTTATTCAATTTTACTCAATTTTATTTAAGTTACAACTTTAACTCAAGTTATAACTCAAATTTAACTCAAAAACTACACTCAAGTTACACTCTAAAAGAATAACCCCTATCTTGACAAATTCACAAAGATAGATAATGAAGATTACTTCATTTCCATTCCTCAATCGTTGTAATGTATTATTCAAATATTTTATCAGCTATTTTTCTGTTATAATATATTAACTTTATATTCCTTCACATATTCTGAGTAGATCATATATATGTATATTCTCTTAAAATTTTAAATATTATACGCATATATATATGCACATTCTTAACAATAACTTATTCTTATAATTGTTAGCTTAAGTTTTAATAATCTATTTTAAGTTCGCCAATGCTAATTTTTACTCATCTCTTATATATAAAATTTGAATTTGAATTTCCTAAGTACAGATTTGTCCTTTTCTCTTATTTTTTTCCTTCATAATAAATGTTGCTGATCTACTATTCTGATCTCTCTCTTTAGTATTTCAAATTTTCAAAAAATAATTTACTAATTTACCTATACCATTTACAATTACAACTCAATCTGCTTTCAAACTCATTCCACACGTGCTTTCAACCAAAATTTTACTTGTACTTGACACACTTCTTAGAACCTTGCTTTTTCTCTCTCTTCCTTAAACCTGTTCTATATGCCAGATAATAAGACTTAAATTTCAAATAAAACTCCAAAACCACATTAATATTTAAATAAAAAAAAACTCAATTTACCTTTTTGTCTAAGATCTCCATAAATATCCTACTCAAAATAGATATCCATAAATAACTCCTTATTTATCTATTCTACATCATCACTTACTTCAATCCCCGTATGTTGATATCAATAGACTTTAAATGATAATTAACTTATGTTAACAAACTTCAAAATTTAAAATTTATAACTTTTTTCCTTCTTCAGCAGCTATTTTCTCCTACTGACAGAGAAAGAATTTCAGCTATTCCATTGAGTGTTCGTTCGGTTTATGATCGTCTTATTAGGCACTGCAAAAAAAAAAAAAAAAAAAAAAAAAAAAAAAAAAAAAAAAGGATGCTATCAAGTTAAATCTGGTTATCATTTAGCGCTGCCTCTAACAATTCAGCTTCTTCCTCTAATCCTGCCTCTATGCAACAGTGGTGGAACTTTCTCTGGTTACTTAACTCTTCCTAATAAGTTAAAATCTTTTTCTTAAAGGGCTTATCATGATGTATTTATTACCTAATGTTGTTGGTCTCTTTAATAGGAAAATTATTCCTTCTGCCATTTGTTCTTTATGTTCTAATCTTTGGGAATCTACAAGTCACGTCCTTATTCATTGTAAATTCGCTAAACATGCCTAGAAATCGTCACCTTTTTTTTTTTTTTTTTTTTTTACCTTTCCCTCCTCTCTTTCAACAATCCTTTTCGTATATTCTTCATTCTTGGCTAAATCTTTCTCTGCAAAAGGAATTAGAACTCTTCCTTTGCTTATCTTGGGCTATTTGGTGTGAACGGAACAAAATTACATATTGGCCTTGTTATTCGTTCTCCTTCTTTCCTTGCAGGCCACCAATTATCTTTCTGAGTTTTCTTCTGCTCAACATAAACAACCATGTTCTATTTCTCTACAGTCTTATTCTCGTCTTATGGCTACATGAATTCATCCCGATCTTAATTGCTACTAAAGTGTTTGGTTGACTGATTTAGCCTAGTTCAAGCTGATCCACAATCTAAAGACGTGTTTAGTGAAGCAAATAATTCAAATTGAATGGCCTGCTTAATTTGGGCTGAACGGGTCATATAAAAATTTTAAGCCTCCGTTTATTTCACCGATTTAAACTTAAAATTTAAATTTTATTATATTTAAAATTTTTTAAAAATAATCACATTTAATTTTTTATTATAATAAAAAATTTTAACATAAAATTATATTTCAATACAAATTAAAAACTAAACAGGCACCAAGTTACCCTCAATTCAACATTTCAAACGTAAAGCAACTCCACAAT